GTTCGAAAGAATACACACGCGAAATCTCGTGTACACTTTTGTCCGAGTGAAATAAACGATAAACTAATAAAATGATTTTCGATAAATTCCTTTCGGCCGCGTCATGAAAAGTCGATTTCACGAAATATTCGTCCATTTCATCGATCCTCTGTTCTCTTCTTTTCCCGCAGGTTGGCCAAACACGTCGCAAATAGAATTTACGAAGACAGAAATATTTCGCAGAGGAGGGGAATTGTGTTACAAATTTTATTGATTTCAAGTTTCAGAATATTTTGTAAGTGGAAGAGAGAGAGTTTATTGGAGGTAACGAGTAAAAAGATAACGTACGTATCTGTCGTTTTTCATTCATGAATAAAAATATCAGTGGATATTGAATCTACACAATTTCAGTCCAATGAACGATCAAACGTTGATAGCCATGCAGTTTCCGAGTTGAAAACGTATACCGGCCGTGTAAAGATTTCCTCTCCGAAATGAAACGAAAATATTTGGAGCTCAAGTGCAACAAATAAAAATAAGTTTTCGTTTTTAAATAATATCTCGGGAAAAAACCCGAAGTTCAAATCGAATAAACTGACAAACAAGAAAACAGCGAAAAATTGGACGAAATTGATTACCGATGAAAAAATTACGAATGACGAATGTTCGCGAATGAATTTTTCTTTCTTTGCAAATGAAATTTATTTCTAATAACTTTCAATCCGTGAATTTTCGCGACGATAGTGTATGTCTGGCGTAGAAAATAAAACGCATACTTTCGCATTTTCATTAACTTTTCAAAACACTTCGAACGTCGAAGACTGATATACTTTCGCTAAATTTTTAAAATTCTTCAAAACTTGAAAATGAATAAAAGTCTCTATGGTCGTTGCTTTCTAATATTATATAAATAGTTAACCATTTGTTTAAGTGACGCGTAAGCTTTATCATTCGTTGTTCAATTAAAAATTCATTTCGAATAATATCCAGTATCGCGTATCCAACAGCGTATGTTCCTCGGTGGAATACAGTTTTTAGGAGAATTCCGCGCGAAATAATTCTTCCCCGTCAAATGAACGTCGTGTTGTGTCATGTTAATACGTGCAAATGTGTAAATTTAATTTTCGTGAGAGTTACAAATGCGCAACGCACTAAATTAACCATTATGACGTCGCGTTGTACGCTACTAACGCAACTATACGAAATTCGTTATCATTTCCATTTGCGTGTAACGCGACGTATAATGTCTGTCACGTACAATTAATTCCCGTTGATTAACACTGTTATCGAAAAATATTACGCGCCGTGTTGTTATTTAAATATTTGCACGTTTGTCCGTCACTCCAATATTTCGAGTTGTTTTCACTCGATAAACGCACCTTCCGATAGTGGGAGAGTTTATATTTTACTTTAGATATTTTTAGTAAATTATTATTATTATAATTGTGTAATTATTATTTCTATTTTAATGAAATAGAAAAATTATATTATATTAATTAATATTATATTAATATTAAATAATATATTTAATTATAATATAATATATTAATTAATTATTATACTAATATTATATAATATAATATATTAATTAATATTATATTAATAAAATAGAAAAATCTTTTTTTATTTGGCAGAGACGTAGTTTATTCGGGCAAGGTTTCTCTATCTTTCATTCACGATGATTCTTATTCAAAAACTTTCCGAATGAAATGGTCATCGACTTTAGAGGAAATAATAAAGTCATCAAGATCTTAGAATTACTTGGATTTCGGTTGTAATTGATATTAAATTAGAGAATTAAAATTTCACGCTCGGTATTACTTTTTAATTTTCTATCAAACGATCATCGATCTTAGAGTGAATTTTTATGCATTTACGAGAAACTGCGAATTTTTATGCGTTTGTGAAAAATTTGTACAAAAATATATAAAAAAATGTGTAACAAATTAATAAGAAGAACGGTCGAACATGCTCTATACTCGCAAATAAATTAATTAAAAGTCCAAGAGTTTCGTGGGGACCAGCCTAAACTCGTACAGTAACAAAATAAAAAAACCAGAAGCAAAGAAAAATCTCTACACCTTCCAAAGAAATTCGGAGATCGAACGAAGAACAGCGTGACGTTTTAAAGGATTCGATCACCTGCTAGTTTCTACACAACTTCTATCGTATTTTCGTCACTCCGCGCCTCAAAACGATCGTGCACGAGAAACTTGTTCGTTGCCTTCGAGAAATGGCGACTATTTTTAACAGGATTTCAGTCGTCTATCTCCTTATGTCCGCGGGCTGCGGACCTCTTATCCTTCGACTTCTGCCAACCCTAGGGATACAGCCGGAGAACTCGAAACGTCTCTTCGATCCTTTCTATCCTTTCTTCGTTAACTTCTTATTTCCTGCCATGTGGCCCCTATTCTACTAACGATTGCTTTCCTTTCCACCGGTGAATCACACTTTTTCGGGTCAGCTGACAAGTTATCGCGCGAGTTTCAGTTCAAAGTCGTATTATCCTCGAGACATCTCGGACGGATTATTACGTCACTTGGAAAGTTCAAGTTTCCTGACGACGGATATATATATATATATATATATATATATATATATAACACAATGTAGCATATTTTCGCCAATTTTTTTAAAATGCTTCAAAATTTGAAAATGAATAAAAGTTTCTATAGTCGTTGCTTCCTAATATAATATAAATAGTTTTATATACATATATATATAACATACCTAACTGTCGGGAGAGAAGTTTCTATTTAGATTTATAAAAGCGGCATTTACAAAAATTTGAAGAGGGAACAACAATGTTAAAATAAAAATCGCAACTTTCCCACGAAAATGGGAAACTTTTATAGAACATTCTAGATAGACGTCATTTTACTATCACTATCATATCATGTGTTTCACATCGTATACTTTTTATAAAACATAGAATACAAAAGTCGTACGTGGGACTTTCGAGAAAAATGCTCCAAACTTATCTTTGAGGAGAATAATCGTGCTGCATTCTTCTTCGTGTCCCGCGAGATAACCAAACCTTTTTGAGCGCGGTTTTTTTCCAATTTTCCCCGCTTATCGTTCTTTTCGCCAGTCACGTTGGTGGATGCTCATTTTATATCTACAGATCATTTTCGACGTGTCAAGCAGGAAACGAAGTACGACAGAGATACTCTTTAGTCACACAAAGTTCGTGATATGAACGCAATGTTTGAATCGTGAATTCAGGCTCCGACTGCCACGAGCAGCGAACTGTACATTTTCTTCGATTAATCTAATCATTTCGTCACTATCAGCCTTCATTGTTCATACGTTCTCGAATATTATCTCGAAGACGAAAACGTGTACGTAGCGTGGAATTTCAAAAGCTTATCGATACTTGATGTACGTATAAACGCTCACTGCCGCGCGTGTGTATGCTACTTCAGCTGATGACGCGAGCTTAGGGGTAAAATTCAGTGATCATAAATTATCCAGGCTCGTGTATAATCACCAATTTCAATAATTATACGAGGCGATATATTTTACAATGATTGTGAAGTCAGAAAGTATTCAAAATTGTCTGTAGATCTTTCGTCTATGCAAAATGATTCATTTTATAATAATTTAAATGATATTTCAAGCAAAGTTACAATGTTCATTTGTAAATAAATTTATAAGATTTATATTGATTTATTTACAAATGAACGAATGTTTATATTAATTTTGTACTTGTCAATAAAATTAATTGGTTTGTCGGTTTCTCACATAGAGAAGCATGTGCATTGAATCGAGAAAATTTATGTTTCTATTAACTTATTACAATATATTATATTGTAATAATATAATATAATATCTTAAAGTATCTAAACAGTAATCGTTTCAAAGGACAACTAATTCGACAAGACTATTACAACTATGATGTCCCAATGTAATAGTAATTGTTTTAATATATCAAACAACAGTTAATTTAATAAGGCTATTGTAACTGCGGTATCTGAATATAAACGAGTACATAATATACTTTGTATATTATTGGAGGAATGAATTAAGATTATTGCTCAAAGGGAACCGAACGATTTAACGGGGTTCGTTTGGGTTCTTCTCATCTGGCTAGTACTATTGTCTATATCAGCGTTTGCGAAAAATATGTCAAACCGATATTCCGAACGACAGCCGGCCCGATGCTTTTAACTCTCGATTAAATTTTAAATTTATGTCAAGACACCGGAGGTTACGATCGATCATCGTCGAGAGCTTTCATTTAACGCACCTTCCCGTGTTCCGGTATTTTCGATCATCCGACTTCTCAATCCCGACGACGTTAATAAAATACAAGAAATATCGCTGAATTTCATCAGCTTATGCGTCTCTCCATTTGCTAAATACCGTGGTGCAGAGGTGGCGAAAGTAATTGGAAAATGCGAAAATTCCAATTTGAAATATGTAAATAACACTTTTTTTTTTTTTAGAATGAAACACTATTGCGTGAAACGACAAACGTGGAATGTACACCTTCACATTCAATTGTTTATCAATTTTCTATCTTTGGTTGATAACCAGGATATAAGAATTTTTTGAATAATTTTAAGAAAAAGAAAATCAAGTCTACAGCTTCGTTCAATTACTGAATATAATACAAATTTGTTTAACATTCAAATAAGTGAAAACCATTCAGTTCTTTAATTAATCGTTAATCGTTGTTCATTTAACAGTGAATCGCGGAAACTTCGTACCGTGCAAGCTAAATTCATGACTCGCGAGTTGTGACGGGTTTTCTAAAATAAAAAGCGAAAAATAAAAGGCGAAAGGAAAGAAAAGAGCAACGATACTCGGAGTAGAATGTAATCAAAAATAAACTAAAACGAAATCGACTTTTTCATCCGTGTTATAAATTTGGTACAGTTCGCTAACCCTCGCACACAGCCTGCACACCAATTAAAAAAAGGAGAACCAGAACGAGACCAGGTGCATTACACTCAGTGCTTTAGAGGATGCGCGAATGAATCAATATCCAATAAATCGGCAGACAAGAAACTACTCACCCTGCAGAAGCTGGTGATGGAGGATATCTGAAACAGAAAACAGAAAGATCAGTCGTTGAAAATTGAGAAGAAGAATCGTGCGATAAAAAAAATTCTTCCCATCGAGGAACAGTGAATCTATTTTACTTGGCTACCTCTGAAAATGTTATTTTGTCACTATTAAGAATATATCTGGTAATTTCATCATTATTACATAATTTATTCTTTTAAATAGTGACAACCTCACGAAATAAAATAAAATATAATGGAGAAAAGTATAGAAATTGCAAATGAAAATTTATACGCATTAACATTTACGTGAATGTCAATATTTATATTATTCACGATATTGGAAATTTCGATTTATCCCAATTCAAAGAACCTGAAGTGCCTATGCTTTTTTTTTTTTTCTTTGAAAGAGCCTCTGTACATTTCGATCGGATGGTAGGTCAATTGAAATTCAAAAGTCGTCCGGACGTCTCGAAGCTTTCGAGATGCTGATCGCCGAGACAAGAGCGAAGCTCTCGAGAACACCTCCGCAACGAAAAAAGTTTCGCCGTGATTATCACGAGAAGTTTTCGCGACGCTTGAGAGAAAAATACCGGCCATTTTTACGTATTCCCCGGCGCAACGGTGACCGAACTTCCGTGTACACCGCGCCGTGGAATTAGATACCCAGTCTTCGAGCTTGCACGAGTTTTTACTAATGGCCGCGCGTTTTTACATTCCTCGCGATCGCCGCATTTTGTAACTTTCCGCGTCCGCGGAACAGGGCTGGGCGAGAATGGAAGCGCGATTTTAAAACAACCGTCGTCTCTCTCCAGGTCGCGAGAAATTTCTAGTTAAGATTCGACGGTACCAGTACAATTCGAGGCGGTTCTTTGGAAAAACACCGAGTGTCCCAGTTTTTCGCAACGAAATGCATTTTTGAGAAATTTGGAGATGCAAAAATGTACGAAGAACGTAAATGCAAAATATCTTAAAGTATCTGCTTTAGTTGCAGAAATGTCTAATATAATATAATATAATATAATATAATATAATATAATATAATATAATATAATACAATATAATATAATATAAAATAATATAATATAATACAATATAATATAATATAATATAATATAACATAACATAATATAATATAATATAATACAATACAATATAATATAATATAATATAATATAATATAATATAATATAATACAATATAATATAATATAATATAATATAACATAACATAACATAATATAATATAATATAATATAAAACAATACAATATAATATAATATAATACAATACAATATAATATAATATAATATAATATAATACAATATAATATAATATCTAAGGTATTATAATAATATTACAATAATATATTATATTGTAATAATATAATATAATATCTTAAAGTATCTAATATAATATAATAGTAATTCAAACGATTGATTCACGTATATTTACATTTTAAAAAATATTTAAAGTATCTAACATCATATAAAGAAAAAAAAAAGAACAAATTATATTTTATATGAATTACTTTAGAAATCAAGTGACATTAAGTGACGTTAGGAATTTCGAAAATTACTTTTATTCAGTTTGTTTAGTAAAAACAGGACAAAACAATTTAATAATTAATTTTTTTTCTCTTCCCTAGCAATAAAATGCGTTAAACGTATTTAGTAATCTTCAATGTCTCGTACTTCTCTATTGTTTCTCTTAATTCAGTCTCTAGATTGTCCCTAGAAATTTACATTTCTATGATGCAGAAATACATTCGATCTTGACCTAACTGATTGTACTCGTCAAGTTGAACTTCAATGAGCCAGCTTCGGAACTGTGAAATGTTCCTTATTTGTCGCAATTGCGAAAGTGAGAGTCGAAACTGAAACGAGGACAATTCGTTTCACGAAGAGAAACGTCGCTATTTGAAAATTAGGTCAACGGGTAACAATTTATTCAAATCGATAGTTTCTCCTTTTCTGTCTTTCTCTCCCTCCCTTTCTCTCTCTCTCTCTTTCAGAGCCACGATTAAATTCACGTTGCTGAAAAGCTCGGTGAATTAAATTTCATAGCCAATTTGCATTTATAAAAAGATAGAAAAATTACAGTTAGTTATTTTTTCGAAGTCAACATCACATAACATAACTCTGCTTAACATTAATTTCGCATTGTACTTTATTTATACCTGTATATTGGATATTGCATGTATGTTTCTTCGTTTGTATCTTGTCTCGACAAAAGATGTTTATTGTAAATAAATATTGAATATTAACCTTTAATATGGTTGTATTTATGTAATATGTTAAACATTAACATTTAAATATCAATATCAATCGTCAATGGCTTTTACATCATTTAATTTTGGAACTTTCATATTTGATTTAATTTCATTACTAGCCTCTATAAAGGGGAACATGAAATACAAAGTAGAATTAACTCCAAACTGTGTCAATTTACCTGATTTATCTAATCTTGCGATTTCTAATCAAATTTAATTTTATTACTAATTTCTAATAATCGCGAAGAATGAAGAACTGCAAAATGCAGTTAATTATTCTGTGTAAGTCGATAATAGTCTGGCGTGAATGTCACTTTAGACCAGTCATTTAAATGTTTGAAATTATTGATAATCTGATAATCGTTATAAGCCAACGGTACCAACTATTAGAGGTTCAAACGAATATTCTATTCCTCTTTGAATCTGATTACGAGTTAATATAGCTCGTTTAATGAATTGTTTAGTGAATTCAATCATCCCTAGCGTCGCCATAAGTCGTCGACCTTACAAACTTCGGAACGGAATATTCGTTTTTTCCTTCTTCTTCTTATTGCCATTGGTCAAACAAGATGGAACGAAATAAAAGTTTTATCGACAAAAATAAACGCGGCGTTCGTCGTAATAACGTTGGTTGCTCGTTGGAAAGAATTCCGCGAATCGAGCTGGATTTCCGCATTTTAATGAAAGTCCTCCACTCGCCGAGCGTAATGAACTTGACCGAACTTTATCGTCGCGAGTTCATCAGCGGATTTAATCGGTGGCCAGCGAAGCGGATAACCGATCACAGGGCGAACAATGGACTCGCCAAGTTGCCTTATCACGGCATTAGCGTTACGTTAGGGGCAAATCAAACTCTGTCGAACGTGCACGTGTGCACGCGACGGCTTATTACAAGTTGCTCGAAGCGAGAAATTCTGCGATCTCGAAAGTTTCTCGCGGCTTTTCGAGAAAGGATTATCTCGAGATATTTTCGGGAAGACTGCGGTTTCTTCGCGCATTTTGAAATTTTCTACGAAACGTAGCTGAAGAGGCAGAACCCAAATAGAAATTTGCTTCGGCTGCTGTGTGTTTTTTAACATTTTAGACATTTTACGTATATTTTGTGTATATTACTTCCAATTTCCTATAAATGCATAAAAAAGAACCACTAGTTTAGTTACAAAACGTTGACAAAACGAGCGATTATTTTGGGTAGTTAAGTTTAAGTTCCTTTAATATTGTTTACTTTTCGTAAATCTGCACTGTTCTGAACAGTGATTGATGTTTGGTATTGGTTCATCAAATATCATTAACAGATAGGATAAACGTCGTTGATCGTATATCAACATAATATTACAAATTGATGTCACGTAATTGTATGTTCGTTTACATTTTGATATCAAAATTAACCACTAAGCTATATAATGTTATTGGTACATAATTTACAGTTCATAACGAGAGCAATCCGTATTCAATAATTCGATGAATCTCCAAAAATATTAACAGAATTTCTGCACCAGTCTCTTTAGTTGTTATTTCTTTTCTCTAATATTATTTCCACTATATCTTTAATTTAATAGAATAAAAAGATTTTTGCTATTACAAAACATATTGGCATGTTTTTTATTTTCCAATATAGTGTTATTTTACTAGATCCTACATTTCATTTTATATTAAACTTTATATTTATATATATATAAAATATTATTTATATAATTATAATATATATAATTTTATTTATAATTATTATATAATACGCTTATTGTTACGCGATTTAATTATTAGAAAATATATCAACACACATACTAAGGTACAATAAATATAATATTTCCAACATATTTTATAATTACTTCATGCTTTCCTCGAATATGATGTCGCCTCTCCCCCCTCCCCGCTCCAAAAAGAAAAAGAAAATTCTCCTCAGCCAATATATAATTATAATATATATAATCTATATTATATATATATTATAATATATATAATTTTATTTATAATTATTATATAATACACTTATTGTTACGCGATTTAATTATTAGAAAATATATCAACACACATACTAACGTGCAATAAATATAATTTTATAATTACTCCACACTTTCCTCGAATATGATGTCGCCTCTCTCCCCGCTACAAAAAAAAAAAAAAAAGAAAATTCTCCTCAGCCAATGAACCAAACCCCATTGAAATCCGCGACGTGAAAACCAAGGCTGACGCGATTCAGCGATCCCCCGACGCCGAAAAAGATTCCTTTGATGCCCGGAGTTACAAGTTTAAAGCCACGGTCCCGGGAAGACAGATTGTGCGATCTCTCGCGTGTCATTGGTCCGGCGTATATTCCTCGGTGCACGCGTCCGGCCAACAACGAGTGGCAATCTCCGCTCCCATCTTCCTCGCGCTGCGAGAATCGCCGTATCGCGGCTTCAGTCTCGCGGCCTCCACCGGCTTCTTTATGCCCGAGGAAAAGCGCGACGACCGGAAGCAACGGCTCAGAGCCACGCTCGGCTGACACATCCATCCAGACAGAGAGGCCGGAAAAGGGATATTTCGGGTACCGTGTATGTATATCCGTCGTCCGCGCTCGGCCAACTATAAATCAACGAACTACTACCGGGGGCTCACCGGGCTTCAACTTATGCATCGATACGGATCCCTCGTTGTCGCGCGGCCGCGACACGCCGACGAAACTCCGGCGAATACCTTGAATTTTCCTATCGAATTGTGCCATCTTCGCCTCGAGGTTTTCCAGCCCCGGGGGAAAATCCATTCCTGAACGAAATACCCGGACGCTT